CAATATCGTTTATAATAGAGGAGCCCAAGCGGGGATTTCGAAATTTACTAAAGCGCGGCAGATTAATATACAGAGGGATACCTCGTACGCGGTTAAGTACCTCCACCAAATATGAGCCCCATATGTAAGGCCGTCCGTGAAGGATAAAGGATCAGATTATTAAAAAAAAAATTGATCATCAGAAATTCTCGAGCGCGTCAGATTATGGTAGGGTGAGTTAATTACATGCTGAAAAGTGTACATTCCAGTAATCTGACAATTTGAGAGTGACGTAAAGAAAGGGGAGGGCAGCAAAGTTGTAAAAAAATAACGTCATTTCGACGTTCTCGAGCGTAGCTAATTTTCTTTTTATTTTGAAGGAAATAATTCAAGTATAACGAAAACCATATAATCTGACGATTTCCGCAAGCCGAAATAACAAAAATTCGTCGATAAATTTTAATGCGTGCAGCTGTATGATACCTATATTTCCCTCTCCGAGTTTCTATTCCACTTTCACTTTTTCTGTATCTATTACTCTCTCACTCCGTCCCCACTCTGAATTCTGTTGCCATGACGCCATCACAGCTGACCATAGAGACTCGTTCGTGGTGAAGATGATGATTAATTAATTAATTGATTATGAAAAATTAAGTATTCTACTTAAAACATACACTTATTTATTTGCATTGTGTTTCCTGAGCTTTTCAATTATTTAAATTCAATGATTAAAAAAAAAATTGTCAGATTAGGCGAATCCCTCAAGATAATCGTCAGATTATGAGACAGCACGTCTAGAACATAAAGATGAACCATATATATCTTAATCTGACGCGCTTGAGTATTTCCAAAAATTTTTTTTTCTTGGCCTGTGTAATTAATGCGACTAGGGGAGCTGGTGCTTACGATTTACAGGAAATTCTTCGATATCTAGGTGAATTTTTTTTGCCCATTATAATAATGGCCGCGAGTTTGCGTCAGATCGAAATCGTCAGATTATTGAATGAGAGCTTTTTTTTTGTTGCACTTGACACCCCCGTAGAAAATCTGACGCGCTCGATTAAATTTCTTTTTTTTTCCACTTTTAACCCTTACATACAACCACTCGCATCATGCAAACGATCAGATTAACATACGAACATTATTAAAATTATTAAAAATACGTCGGACATTAATACTATCAATATCTGACGCGCTCGAGTATGTCTATGCAACAGATTTTTTTTTAAATATTTAAAAATCTATAGCCGCTTCCCCCACCGAGGAAAAGTTATATAGTATATAACATTCTTTTCTTCTTATCATCTGAGCTTAGCAACCTAATATGTCTTGAGTAAATCCCCATTTTGCATCGTGGGCTACTATTACTTCGACTATATAATATTTTTCATCCCATTAAATCGAAGGATTTTGACTGAATAATGAATTTTATTAATATTACTGGAGTCCCAAAACTTAACCGTTATTTTTAACACCTCGACACGTGTTTCGATCACCAAGCGATCATCTTCAAGAGGAAAACGTGTCGAGGTGTTAAAAATAATGGTTTGGTGTTGGGAAAAAACTCCAGTGATATTCATTACTACCACCAAAGGTTTCGAACATTGCATCACAAGTAATGAATTATATAATTCGTGTACTTGAAACATATTCTAGTCGATAATGGTGAAACACTGTAAAACATAATCAATCAAGTATCATCAAGTGCGTGTTGTCTCTGTAAATTATTGACGACACCTGAATTCATGAGTTGTTTTATCGTTTGGTGGAAATTGCTTCAGTGCCGATGGAAATATGGATTTTCAACGAATTCTCGTGTATGGTTCAATATTGAATTGAGTATCGATTGAGGTCGTATTATGACTGGAAGAAATAAAATCGGGTCGCGTTCTGTCACGAACCCGATGGCCTGAAAAAATTATCAGGTGAGGTAATTGGGTAGTCGGTCGTATAACCTTCAATTAAGTGTGAATAAAAAATTTACTAGGATCGGATGTTTGAGCAGGTCTATTAACACGGGAAGTACATTTATGTTTGATCGTCTGGATCGTTGGAAAACAAAGCGGGACTTATTATTGTCATGCGACATGAAGGTTTATACAGGGAAATACGAGTTTGATTAGATTTGGAATATAGAGAAGAGTCGCAGAAGTTGCTAAACTGGATTCCCACAAATAATAGTCACGTTCAAGTACTCGAGTAGGGGAATTACCGCTGATTTTTTTGGTAACAATTCAATTGAAGCTCTTTTTTGCAGCCTCTTCAATATCGTCAGGAATACACAATGGGGAATGTTCCTCAATTTGGGTTATTACAGCAAATGCAAGTTTGAACAAAATGAAGTTGGGTTTAATTCATGAGTTTTTCAAATTCACTTCGAAAAGTATTCAAATTGATGTTTCAAATGTTGGGTTTTAATTTTTAAAGGGATTTGTTTCTAATTCACATATTGGCAACATCGCCTATATCAAGTTGAAATAATTTATACGTACCTAGATATTCCACTTTAAAAAAGGAAAATTATCTTTATAAATCAACAATTAAGGCAAAATATAAATTATAGTTAAATACCACCTCCACAAGCCACAAAAACAACAGTTGTTTTGTTATTTATTTATATAGAAGAAAATAGGTTAGGTGCACAAAATGGCATATGTCACAGAATGTCTCGGAACTCGGAACATAAGTAAACAGAACAGCACGCCTCTGAAATATGTCATCTTTGTTTGTCTCACACAGGTAACAGATTCATTGTCCTTTATTAGCTATAACCCATATTGCCAAATGGTGAAATAGAAACGAATCCCTTTAAATGTTGAATGCATTATTTCATTCCTCTTTTTCAAGTTTTTAAATATTTTTTTAAAGAAAAAGATTGAAATGATAATTTTAAAATGCGTTGTTTTAGAGCTCTTTTGTGAAAACTACTTGATTTTCGTCAGGAGGAACATTCCCCATTCCTCACTATTGTTCTTCTTTATGCAGGACATTAAACACCACAATATAAAAACCTACTCATATCTTAAATAGCTATTAGAGAAAAATGCATATAACAATGTTTACGTGAGCATGGGAGTGGGGGTAAGAACTTTGCTTACTTTTGCTGACAAGGGGGATGAAATGTAATTGCTTAAACTTGGTCACTTAATGTCTATTCTTTAAAAGAGGGGTACTCCTAGAGAACGCCGTTATTTGGGAGTTGGTTGTGGCTCTGTTTAGTTTTCTAAATCTGTTAATCAAATAATAGACATTGTGAGATAAGGATTCAATTTAGAGCTCAGGTATTTTTCTGAGATTACTCAACGAGACAATACAGGGTGTTATTAAGTACATTTAAATATTCTAGTGACGTATTCCTGGGACAATTTTAAGAAGAAACGTCTATATAAACTTGTGTCCGGAAATTCTTCGTTTCGGACAGGGTATTGAAATTGAATTTTTTTTGTTAGTTTTTTAAAAATAACTTTTGCAAAAAATAAGTTATTCACACGAAATTTGGTACCCAGGGGTTTTGGACGTGAGAATTCATATTTTGGTATTAATTTTCTTGTAACATCTAGATGGCGCTGCGTACGCAGCTTTTAAACTTAATTTTACCGAGGTTATAATTCGATATCTTGATCAAAAACCATGAATCTTATTCCTATTTCACAAAAATAGACCATCAGCTTGTTCAGTTTCTCCAGAAACCTATCTGTATTCATTTGTTGGAGAAAAATACATAGGTCGTGTGTAAACAACCATTTCTTCTATGAATGAACTGTAAATTTCCTATGTTTACAAATTTCGTTGTTGAGTGTTGGGAAAATATTTTCTTTCAAAGAAATTGTAGCTGTCCGCGGACTATAAATAATTGTGGTAAACCATATGTTCACGATAAGTGGTGAAAATACTCTTATATTGTTCATATTCCGCCGAACGATTTTTTATCTGACTTTCTGAGTGGACACTGCATTAATTTCTTTTGCCATTTCTTTGGATAGAAATAGCCGATACTTGACGAAAATTTCTGATGAAATCGATACATCTTCTCATTGAATTTTTGCAAAACATGTTTTCCGCATTTCACTATATAATGGCATTTACAAAATTGTTCGTCTAAAAGTAGGCAAAATTTTTTATGATCTATGTTTGGCATGTCATTTTGTTATTGGCTAATAATTTCCAAAGACGGGTGTTTTTTCAAAAAATCTGACATACTACTGTGAATCATTTTAAGAATCGTTTTGGTAACAGAATATATGTTGAGAAATTCAATCAGTAGTACTTTGTATACAGGGTGTAACATATATACTTACGTTAAAATACTCAAGTGACGCATTCATAAAAAGGGAGATACTCACGGATATTACACTCTGTGACTCGAAGGCCTTTGACTGTGTCTATCATGAGATACTCATTTTGAAACTCAAAAATTACGGTATTAGTATTAGAGAGGTGGCATTGAAGTTATTCAGTTCATATTTAGAAAATACAAAACAATATGTTACTGTTAACCAAAGAAACTCGGACTTTCTACCTATAATGGTGTCCCACAGATGTCAGTGCTTGGACCATTCTTATTTGTCATTTATATAAATGACCTATGCAACTTCCTATTACCCAATGAAAAGTGATCAATATAGAAAATTGTAAATATCTCGAAAACGATCACCACCAGCGTTGTTGAGCAGGTGTAGCTTTTTTACTTAGAAAAGGTGTGGGAATGAGGTTTTTTCATGAAAAGTTCCGAAAGTTTACTGTCAAAAAAGCAATTTGAAATAAATAATGACAGCGTACGCAGCGCCCTCTTAATGTTGATGAAAATTAATACGAAATTATGATTTTCCACGTCAAAAAAAAACCAGGGAACCGAATTTCGTGCAAATAACTTGAATATAATATAAAGAGTCTGTTCTTTCTGCAAACTTAGTCATGAAATAAATAAGAACTATTAACGAACAATTTTAAATTAACACCGCAATTCACCCAGAATGTTGTAAACTAGTCAAAATATCTAATGGCCTTGACTCTCATTTCAGCTCCGGAACGATGTAGTACCAAAAACAGCTGAGAACTTCCGTGCCCTGTGCACAGGCGAGAAAGGATTCGGATACAAGGGATCCACCTTCCACCGAGTCATCCCCAACTTCATGTGCCAAGGCGGTGACTTCACCAACCACAATGGTACCGGAGGAAAATCCATCTATGGCAATAAATTCGCAGACGAAAACTTTACCCTGAAACACACCGGACCCGGAGTCATGTCCATGGCCAATGCCGGACCTGACACCAACGGATCTCAATTCTTCATCACCACCGTCAAAACCTCTTGGTTGGACAACAGGCACGTTGTCTTCGGTGCCGTCGTAGAGGGCATGGACGTAGTCAAGAAAATTGAGGCTCTCGGATCCCAGTCAGGGAAGACGTCAAAGAAAATCGTCGTCGCCGATTGCGGGCAATTGTAAAGTAATTTGAGAGATGTTTACCTTAAGTTGAAATCGATACACCCTTCTAACGCTGTTTTCCATATAAAATGTAATGTCATTTTTGAATTTGCTGAATTCCGTAATGTAAGAGTTTAGGTGTCGGTCTATCAGTGAAATTATTCTGATAGGAGTTGTGATCTGTTTCAAATAGCCGATAGTTAGGATTAGTGTTCAACTTTGCATTTAAACGTTTCTTTTTCATCTTTAGGCTGATATTACAATTTGTTTCAATATATCTGAATGTTTTTTACCAGGAATGTAAGGTAACTGTAATAAATGAAACAATAACGGGCTTTGTTGTTTGGTTTTCAAAAATTCAAAACAGTTGAGTTTTCCTTCTCTATCTTTACCCCGCTACTTACGTCGGTGGAAGACATTTGCCTTAAGAAATGCAGAAATTGACCTTTCATGTACTAAGTTTCGGTAGAGGTTCCTACAGCCTGGCTTGTGACTCATGGGTTGACTTGGGACTAGCATTACTTTCTTTTTTATTTGGTGTTAGACAGTTTACAGACCCTTAACTGACTACACTCTAGAAAATGGATTACACATACCATCCTCCTTGAGGTCAGATGCGACATCTAACGGATATATTAGAACTAAGCCAGAAGGTAAGTCTTGTCAGTCCGTATCATATATTATTTTGGTTTCTTGTGAGTGAAAGTAGTTTATTATTTTACCTATTCACATAAACTCTCATAAAACACATAAACATAGCCTATGTTTAATATTCTGTTGATCTGATCACCTGTTATAGTAGCGCCATCATCGGTAGAAATTCGTCCACATTCTGGAAAACTGTTAGCTAGAAATCTGTAAATAAGGGTCTCTACAAGTAACTAATCTATTTCATTACAAGTCAATGTCAATAATCAAAATGATTCAAATATTTCAATAATTCCATTGTTTATAACTTCTAATCAAAATATAAAACCCTTCTGCACTCAATTCTTATCGAATATGGTCGATTTTAACCTGAAAAATATGCACAAAAACCTTGGTATTTTAGCGATTCCCTTATGTTTTGTCGGTAATTCTCCACGCTAGTAATAAGATTGACTCAACTTTGTAGACATGTTGATAGATGGTGCAAGAATCGAAATCTGTCAGTCGTATTTTGTTCATATCTTCCATTTACGGGCCTTAATGCAAAAAATCTTTCACCTAATTTCAATTGATTCTCAAATATGAACAACATTGAAAATTGATTCGCCAACTTCACGTTGTCAAGTAGTGTTACTTGAAGCACAGATTGTGCTTGAGGCGTACTCAGCGCCTCTGTGAATGTAATGTTGAAACTTCTTGGATCTCTTAGTCGGAAGTCAAAATATTTTGAACCTGAGTAACCAGAACCGTGAAAAGTCCATGTGTCACCATCTACTAGGAAACGATGGAGTTGCAAGAATTGACACCGATTCAGTAGGACCAACAAAGGGATAAAAAAAACTACCCTTCCTTGTAACTTTGCAGTCAAATAAAGAAAAGTTCTTAATTTTTCCATTCACAACTACCTCAATATGGGTATTAAATGACTAGTTAAATAGTGGTACACTTTGAAAAATATGCAAATTCAAAATTGCCGAAGCTACAAAATGTTTTGAGGAGTTAGATTGCTACAAATTGTCGGAAAATAAACCTTGTAATACTGAGGCACTAAATGAATGAAACAGAATGAGAAGAATTGAGTAACAAAATTGGAAACTAAAAACTTGTAAATAAAATAAGTAAAAAAATATGTTCAACGGTTTTATTGAAAAAAAATTAATAATGATGTAGATAATGAACTAAAAAATAATTAGGAAGGTCCTAGGTTGCAGTCATCATACCACTACGGTATTGATCAGATAATAAAATCTTTAGGCATAGTATTTACATTTTTACTCAGGTTACTGCAGAGGAGAGTGGTATGATGACTGCTACCGGGGACCTTCCGAATTATTTTTTAGCTTTTAGTATCACATATTATCTACATCATTATTTTTGTTTTTCAATAAAACCGTTCAACATAATTTTTTTACTCATTTTATTATACATACCTTAGTGAAACAGAAATATATATCTCGGATAACGATATGTTGCAAAAAAATAACACATCAAGTCTAGGTTTAAAATTATATGATGAATTTCCTGCATTCAAATATGCGTTGGCAGGCCATACACGTGGCCTGTAGGTCTATTAATATGTCAATGCCAGAAAATCCGACAGTTTGTTAAAAACATTGATTCGACAAGTATATATTTTTTCTTCCTTAGTCAAGGCAATTTTATCAAATATATGCTGCGCTCAATATTTATAATGATCAATCAATCAATCACTGTACTTTATTGTCTAAGAAAAAAATCTTATTGACAAAGCATATGAAAACGATACTAACCTTGTAGTTCACTATACTTTTCATTTCGGTAGGTAAATGGTTGAAAATCTTCCGACTCTCAAACAAAACAGAATGTTTTGTTAACGTTGTTATTGGAATAGGCAGAGGTATGTCGTGAATTTGACAGGTAAAGTAGGTATTTTCTGATCTATAGCATTCTCTTCTTTTAAATATGAGACTTACTGTTTCCAAGATAAAAATGCAGTGTACAGTCAGTAATTTATTATTGTTAAATAGGGGTTTGCAATGGTCCCTAATATTGGCTTTGTAGATGAATTTCACTGCTCTTTTTGCAAAACGAAAACAGACTATAGTAACTGTTTGCTACAAAACCCCTAGTAGGCGACACCATATCTCAAGTGAGATTCGATTAAAGCGTAGTACGCAGTTTTACCAGCAGTTGCTCCCAGTTCTTCAGTGATAACTCTAATGGCATAACAGCTAGATGAAAGTTTTTTGTTCAGATATTTTATATGATCTTCAAGAAAGTTATCAATCCAAATTCCCAAGAATTTAGCAGATTGTTTAATTTCTATCATATGAGTTTGAAGGCAGAAATTTCCATGCACAAATTTAAATGATAGAATGTTAGTTTTGCTGAAGTTAAGACATAGTGAGTTTGAGTCACACCAATACTTAATTTTTTCTAAATCAGCTTTAATGGTACTCTTCAAGGAAACCAAATCCTTTCCACGCCACAATGAAGTGGTGTCATCTGCAAATAGTGTAATTTTACCATCAATATTGATGTTAGGAAGATCATTCACATATAGGAGAAATATAAGATAGGACCTAGAACAGATCCTTGAGGAACTCCACGGCATATTTTGGAGAGACTGGATGTTTTATTTCCTACCTTGACAATTTGATTTCTGTCAGAGAGAAAAGAGCTGAACCATTTGAGGGTTGGCCCTCTGAAACCATAAAGAAATAATTTCTTCAGCAATATTCTGTGATCTACACAGTCAAAGGCCTTAGAAAAATCACAGAATACTGCAGCGGCCGCCTCGCCTTGATTTAGGCCTAAATATAGCTCTTCCAAGAAGTCAAAGATAGCATCGCTAGTATTCTTACATGATTGAAAGCCAAATTGGGCATTGTTTATTATATTATGTTTTGTAAAGAAGAATATCATTCTTTTCTTGACAAGTTTCTCTATAAGTTTCGATAGAGATGGTATAAGAGAAATTGGTCGAAGGTTTGACGGCTCGTTCGCTGCACCCCCCTTGTGAATAGGAATAACTAAAGCAGTTTTCAGGACGCCAGGAAATGTTCCAGTTGTTAAAGACACATTAATTGAATCCGCCAGAATATGAAGAACCTGATCGGAAAGATTTTCAAAAAGTTTAATGGATACCTCGTTAATCCCGTGTGTTTTTTTATTTTTGATATATTTTAAAGTTTCTCTAATTTCCTCAACATTTGTATGATTTAATATGAATTTCTCGGGTATATTGATATTTTTTAGTATATACATAGTTGATAGTGAAGTGTATGATGCACTTCCTTGTAAATTTTGAAATTTGAGTTCGAGGGAATTCAAAACAAAAACATATTGTAGCAGCGGGGGCCGAAATAAAACAAAATTATCAGCACTTTGTAATTTCAACATTCATTATTGGAACATTTATATATATACAACGAATGAAAACATCTCATCATTACACCAGGAAATACATCAAGTGATTGGAAATGCCAATATCTGGAAGTTTCCTAATTCGTAACAGTTCTGAAAATATACACATTTTTAGAATGCAGCTTTAGATGTAAAACAACTTACGGCTTATTTGAAAACGGTTACAGTCAGTCAATGTGAAAAATATGCTTGTGAACATGATTTTTCATCAACGTATGTTTCGAATGATTTGAGCCTCCTGTAACCCTCTAAAAATGCCGCGAGAGAAAAAATATACCTCACTTTATGACGAACTACTTGGATTGTCCATATATTATAAGACGTCGATATGGCATAATGGTATGGTCCAAACATATTTATTTACAATTAACTACATTAAACTTCGACCAGCGAAGGATCACATTGTAAACATCTACCTCTAAAACGTCATTATATTGCAGTGGTATTAAAGTGACGGGGAGGGGTAATATTACTATTACAAAATAAGTAAATTTAGATAGTTATCTAATGCAGTCGTGATCTACTATTTTTCCCATCCTATCATTTCTACATGATTGGATAAGGGGGCGTCGTAATTTACTGCTACAAATTTGGCACTCGTTCATATGCTTTTCTTTCTTTGGTATTTTTAATCCAGTCTCCCTGCCAGGTTAATCACACCAGCAAAGTAATGTTGAGTCTCAAGGCAACCCAAAATCAAAACTCTTCTATACTGAGTTCAACACCAATCAAGTCCAGTACAATAAGTCCGATACTGTTTATTTCCATCAATGCAGCTATTTTTTCCAACTCCAGAGTTGGAGTAATTTCACCAAGTACCTTAACGGTTTCACGAAGACTTTCTTTTTGGGCTTCGATTAATATTCTAATGTTTGAGGCTATGAGATTTCTCGATTGCCTGCCAACCGATATAGTTTGTTGTTGAAATTATTCCTAAATTTGTATATCCACCCGTTCTTTTGGCTTGCGACAATTGGGGAGTTGATAATTGAATACCATCGTACAATATGTTTTTGAGATGTATTGTCAGGTTTCATGAGACGAGCTCTAGAGTTGAGCCTTGAGGTCATATTTTATCCAAACGCTTGTTAATATCAGTAATTCTGTTCTACAGCTGAAGGATCTATCTTCAGAATAACTTTTGAGCAATTTCGCTATTTGCCTCTGCATAGCAAATTTGTTCACAAATTATATCAACAAACCAAGGCCGCCACATGAATTAAATACCATTGGGTTACTCTCTTTATGATTGGGTATGGAATAAAAATCGTACTCATTTTTGGACAATGAAATTATTGTACTTTATGTACTTCAGTTGTAACAGCATAGTTATGTTCTAAACGGAACAGTAAAGTTTAAAAGAATGCTCTTCAGTTTCAAAACACCACCGGTTCCAAAGGAAATCTCTTAGTATAATTCATGAATAATGATATTGTACAGCAGACCGAAATCAATTTTGAATCAGTTCTCTTACATTCTCCCACCATAGCATTTATTTGAATGTAGAGCAATTCCCCTGAGTTCATATCGTCACTGTAATACCTTCGAATATTCTAGAATATATTCAATTATTATTATTTTTAGATATGGTAATAAAGAATTCTGTTTAGAGTGATGATCCATTGAAAGAACCAATGATATGTGCTTCTTCGTGGCAATATTTCAGTATAATTTCACGAAAAAAAAAACTGTTCAGTTGACAACCAGATCCGGTTAATGAGATGAGATAATAACTCCAGCCTGTGTAATATTGATATTTCCTGAATGGACATAATATGTGGAAGTTGGAATTCGAAAAAAAATCTTCTGAAGATTCCACAAAAGTTTCAATTCAACTCATTGTATACCAGAGTAAGGAAGACTGCAAGGTCCTCATTTTTCCCAGAAATTGAAATAGCAATGAAGCGCATATCACCGTCCTTCAACAGGCCCAACTCCCCTTTGAAATGTTGACGACTTACTTATGGAGTCACCACTAAAGGTCGACTTCAGAGATAAAATTTGTTGATTGTACTCCATAAAGAGATAAGACACATTTAATATTGTTAACATTGATTTGATGGATCTACCCGAATGCTAGGAAAAAACTTCTACTTCACGAATAAGTCTTTTAGCGTTGAACAGATGGAAGATTCGCATGTTTCAGTGGATTCTTCATCCCCCTTAGAAAACCAGTTCTTAGACCGACCTGCGGTGCTCTTCTCGTTCTTCATCGGGGCAACGTTGGAGGTCTGGCTGCTGGCAGCTTCTGGGGAGGATTTTCGCAGAAAGACCTCAATGGCACTCCCGAGAGCTTGGGGGTCAACTATGGAGCCGCTTCTCTCATCCCAAACAACTTTTCCGGGTTCTTTCTCCACTACCTTCTTTGCTTCCTTAATATTAGTGAAAAGAGCTGGCTTCTTCTCCTTGTACTCTTCAGTCTTAGCAATGGGCTGATGCCTCTTCACAAACCAACTAGGGGACTGATGTGGGTTGTCGGTCTCATGCAGGATGGATATATCAAAACTGTTGGATCTCGCATTCTTGAGCTGCCCACGCTTTCGCGGTACATTATTCTTCATCCCCTTCTCCAAGGGCTGATCCTCCTGGCAACGGTTGATTTCAGTGGCAGAAGTAGAAAGGGAAGACAGAATAGAAATAAGGTCAGTATTAGAGCAAACTATGCCTGTGGATTGTTTCTTACTTGTCCCAGATGAAGTGCTGGGAGTGGGTGGGGGTAGCTCAGACGCTCTTCGCTTGCTCATACTGGGAATCGGAGCTAGGGTGGTCCCGACGAAGTCGGAAAAACGACGCCCTGAGTTGGTGTAGCGCTGTACGCTGCCGGTTTCGTCCAGGGGTTGAACCTCGCACACCTTCTCGCTGCTGGTGTTCCACATCTTCATGCGCACCTTCCGTGCTTGCACGATGTCGTCCATGATATCCAACTGAAGGTTATGGACGCTGCCTCTGGGTTCGGTAGATGGCGGGCAAGCTATTGATTCCCTTCTGTTGGGGAGTATTCGATTCGGGAAAGCCGAGGAAGCAAACGCAGCGACGGACTCCCTTCTGTTCCTTCCGAAGAAGGCTGGAGGAACTCTGGAGATGGTGACAACGGAGTGCCTTCGTCCGCTAGGAGAAGCTTGAGGAGCAGAGGAAAGGGTAGCGAGGAACTCTGCTTGTCTCGGACCTGGTCCGGCAGTTTCAGCCCTTTCAGAAAGACGCCTCACCTGGCTGGCCGTTATGCCGCTGCATTGTGGGGTGGGGAGTGAATGTTTCCGTATTTCGCGAGCGTATGGAGAAAGGAGGTAGGGGTTCATAGACGTAGACTCATCTTCTGAACTTTGTCTGGAGGCGCTTTCATTTTTTTCTTCTTCATGTTCTTCATCTTCAACTACTATTAGAGGTTCTGAGGTTTGGGTCCGCAGAATAGAAGATCTTCTCATGGTGTCGGGAGAGAATCTGGAACAAATAACCATATTAACGATGTTTAGAGAATAAATAAATTTTATAGGTTATAATAAGTGATAATAATGATGTTATCAAGCAGTGTGCGAGTGGTTCGTACTACTCATTCAATTGACCGACATTTAAAACGGTGGTTGATGCCAAACGGTGGTTAATGAAGTATATCTCGAAAAACAGTGACTGACTCGCGTTTGCTCGTCTTCGTTTCATTTAGGTTGGTTTAGGTTGGACCTTTGGGCGCGTGTTCGTCAGGAGGACAAACGATACACAACTGACTGGAAATTCATGACGGTAGGAAGGTCCTCAGACATCCGTAACGCCCTTCACGGTCGCAGCACCCGATCTAGGGGGGAACAAACCGGGCAATTGCCCGGGGCGGCAAAAATAGGTTAAAATTAGACCATCTATGGAATAACGCATGGGTAAAAGGCGGCAAATATTATTTTTCCTGGAGCAGCGAAATAGCTGGATCGGGCGCTGTCACGGTGTACTCCTACTTGGCTGGTGTGTTAAACGAAAAAGTTATTCATCCGATATGAGGGCCTCATTTGACACAATGTCGGAGACTTCTATATCGGGAGGGATCGTCTACAGCAGTATCTATGGCTTCCCCAACTAACAGATTATCGTGAGTTTCCGCACTATCTAGAACTAGCCGATTTTTAGAAGGCAGTTGCAAATCTCTGAGGATGGCATCATTCCGCACGAACCATGCAGCATTCATTCACTACCATCTGTAGTAACTTTTTTTTGATATCTTCAAACTGGAGAGATTTCTCCGAGCCGCTTGTTCCCAGACGCCTGAAGCATACATGATGCCAGGCTTTAACATCGTGTTATAGATCAAAATCTTATTTTTCTAAGATTCAACTTTGATTTTCTGTTGATGAACGGGTACAGATTTACTATCCGTCCCTCAATCTTAGACGAAGTGCGAGATCCAGGTGAGTCTACAGTCTATTAGGAGATCGAGGAACTTTAACCGCGCTTGCCAGTCGATCTCCCTTCCAGAGACTTCCACTTCCATAACTGGAAAAGATGTTCTTCACTCGTATCTACCAATCGAGGTGGTACCAGCGCTTGCGGTACCAGCGTCTATATGCAACGTGTCTATATGTGCGTTGCATATAGACGATCCTGAGCTCACGACCCATGGAAGAGGCAAGGAGAGCCGTATCACTTTCGGACCTCGGAAAGACGCTGGTGTAGCTTCATTATATATTAGGTTTTATCAATCTATATCGGCCTGACTTTTCTTTCCCAATCATAGTTTATTTCACCATTAGATCCGCCACTGATCATATATGTCTCATTACCAAACTGGTTATTATTATTTTCATTTCTATTTGATTTTAGTTTACGATTATTTCTTCTTCGTTAGTGATCTGCCTCAATTTTCATCTAGAAGTATTTCTATTCAAATAATAAAGTAATTCATTTCCATAATTCTATTTATGATGCACTGTTTGGAACCTTTGGTGTAGTAATGAATATTACTGGAGTTTTTTCCCAACACCAAATCGTTATTTTTAACACCTCGACACCTGTTTCGATCACCAAGTGATCATCTTTAAAGAGGATGATTAATCTTCCTCTTTGAAGATTAATCTTCCTCTTTGAAGATTAATCTTCCTCTTTGAAGATGATCACTTGGATATCGAAACACGTGTCGAGGTGTTAAAAATAACGATTTGGTGTTGGGAAAAAACTCCAGTAATATTCCATAATTCTAATTTTTCTGAAATGGCCATCTATGATTACCTCTGTCAAACAAAATTCATAACACTCCGAACTGCAGTCGTCTTTTGATATTAAACATTCATAACCCAAAACTCGGGAGCTTCTCAATTATTCACTTTTCTAAGTGGAGGCGAACTTCCAACAAGGTGAAAACACCAAAAGTCAGGTATTTCACAGGAACAACTCGCTAACTCTCACTTACAGAAAAACCACAACTCTCCATGAATTTTTCAGTAGTCAGCTCAGAATTACGCTGGAACTAGAGAGCTTTGTGTTGAAGCACCTGACATCAAACACAACCAACTGAATCATTTGCTAACGTTATAATGTAAGTATACTCGTTGAATAGGAATAGTAATAATAGTATAGACCACTAGAGCTCACAGAGGTGAATACTAATCGATTTTTTCATCGTGCAAAGATGAACAAAATATTGCGTTACAATTTTGATTAACAATAAGTTATTAGAAGTCTCGGTATGGAGTTTAACGTCAAAAATTCAAACCAGAGTTGCCACATACAGTGTGTAAAAGCCAAACGGAATAAATTCGTTATTTCGGTTACGTTACATACTTCAACAAAATTCCGAAACACGTCAAATTTAAATTATGATTTTACATACTTTAACGGAAAAATGCTACCCCTACCTTCAACCCCTGTCAATCAGAAGTATAGGCTTGTGATATATCGTTTGAAAGGTATCTTCATTCTCTATTCAAAAATGTTATCACTTTCAACACCCGAAACTTATTGCAATATACACAAAACTTATTTCATGTTGAGGTATTGATAATAAGAAAGAAAGCAAAAACCATAGCAATGTTCTTAATAGATGGTATCCTTCAAAAAACTGTAAATAATTTCCGTGGCAACAAATAATTTCCGTGGCAACGTTAGTTTAAGATGCCTTGTTAACGTGTTTTGTATGTTTCAACATTAGTTGTCAGTATTTTAATTTAAGTTTAAAGTTCGTTAACTTCAAGTCTGACAAATGGTTAACGGAAATGCATAAAATGACAGTTTTACAAGTGATTGGTTGAGGTGATAAAACCCGACCACAACAGAAAGTAGCTCGCCTATTTCATGAGAAATTTCCTAATTTACCGCCCATATCTCAAGGAGCAATAAGCAAAATAGAGATGCAGTTTCGCGAGCTTGGTCATGTAGGACTGATCCAGGAAACCCTCAAGTTCGAGTGAATATGATATGGTTTCAGCAGGATGGAGCACCATCACATTACCAAGTTAATGTCCGGCAGCACCTCGATACAACATTTCCAAATCGGTGGACAGGGAGACGAGGATCGATTGAATGGCCAGCGCGATCACCTGATCTTTCATCCTTAGATTTCTTTTCAAGGGGATATGTAAAAAGCAATGTGTACAAAATCAAAGCTTCAGATTTGAATGACCTAAAAGAACGAATAACGCTTGCGATTAGGTTGGTCATACCTGATATGTTAAATAATGTCAGAAGACAGTTTTATTTGAGATTAGGATGCTGCCAAGATGTTCGCGGTGAACATTTTGAACATCTACTTCTTTAACATCCATAGTTCTTTTTCGTATTGTACATTTCATTACGTTTTGCATCACATTTCAGTTTTTGAGTGTATTTCAATTTATTTTATCCTAATTGTTGCAACAAACTTCCAAGCGATAACATTATTGAATAGAGAATGAAGATACCTTTCAAACGATATATCACAAACCTATACTTCCTATTAAAAAACTGGGGTTGTACCTGTCATTCGGAGGGGGTTTGAGATAGGGGTGGCATTTTTACAAATTATAATTCAAATTTGAAGTGTTTCGGGATTTTGTTTAATTATGTACAGTAACCGAAATAATGAATTTATTTGGCTTTTACACACTATACAGGGTGATTCAAAAGTGCTTTGACAAACTTCAGGAGGTGATTCCTCACAATATTCTAGTATGAATTGTCCAAATAAATAAATGTCCGGAAACGCTTCGTTTCCAAGATACAGGATGTTGAAGTTTCATTTTTATTTTCGTTTTTTTCAAATAACTTTTGAAATACTGAACTTAATTAAACGAAACTTGGTAATAGGAGGTTTTTGAGGTGTCGAATTCGAACCTGATGTTCTTATTGCTCTTACTCGTAGGGGGCGCCACCTACACGTCTTTTTCTTTTTTAAAGATTCATAACTTTTTTTGGGCGTACTTCTAGCACATTTTTCAGTAAAAAAATCGATTCCTCTATCATATCTACGCAAATAAGCTATCCTTGTTACTAGTCGCTGTAAGCAACCGTTTTCTAAATATTTGGACTCGAAAACTTCAAGTCGATTATTTGATAATCGATGCATGTTGATGTTATTACGAATATTTTGCATTTTTCACAAGAATGCTTTGGAAATAAATTTGACGTTTGTGAGTAGTTTTGGTAATTACATATTTTGTGACAGTAAGACGTTTTGTTGAAGTTTCCATAAGTAGAAGTAGAAAACACTTATTTGGAAAAAATGGATTATTTGAAACATTATAATATATTATATTATTCGCCGATATGCATTTCTTTTATGGCCTTGCGGATGGCAATGCGCGCGAAGCAAGACGTATTTACCAGGAGCGATTTCCTAATCCAGTACTGCCTTCAGCTCCAACATTTGTTAGTCTCCACCGTCGTTTGGCAGAAACAGGTAGCTTTAAGAGGGGAAGACCACGATCAGTCCGAACCCCAGAATTGGAAGAAGCTGTTTTGAACGCTCTCGAGGAGAATCCAGAAACAAGCACAAGAGTAATTGCTGAAGCTGTCAATTCTACTCAGTCCACAGTTTGGAGAATTATCCACGATCAACAGTTTTATCCATACCATATTCAAAGGGTACAAGCTCTATTGCCACGAGACTTTCCCCAACGCATTACTATGTGTCAATGGTTTTTGAGAAAATTGGCTGGAAATCCTCAAGATTTAAAATATGTACTCTTCACGGACGAGGCAAACTTCTCCCGAAATGCTATCATAAACTTTCATAACAACCATGTTTGGGCTCTCGAAAATCCGCACGCAGTTAGTGAAAGGCATTATCAGTATCAATTTTCTGTAAATGTATGGGCGGCAATAATTGATAATTACTTGATAGGTCCTTTCTTTCTTCCGCTCCGACTGAATGGCGCAACTTACAGACACTTTTTAGAAAATGAATTGCCGGGACTACTTCAGAATGTACCATTAGAAATTCGTATCCGCATGTGGTTTATGCATGATGGGGCTCCGGCCCATTTTAG